ACTTGTAATCCCTAATAGTATAAACGCTATGTAGTCACACTGTGTTACGTACTAGTGACAGGAAAAGCCTACGTTAGGTGCAAATGAAAACTTTACCCAAATATTTTCAGCCCACAGGCATTGAACCCACAGACATGGATGAGTGGGTTCTGAATAGCAATTTAAATAAACTGATGTTCATTCTAGAGAAATTCTTCAAAGAAACTAAAATGAAATGACATAAATTTAATGGCAGCATAAAATAACTTAATCACTGTCTTGACAATTCTATAGTATGGAAGAAAATTATAGTTTAAGCAAATCTTCAAAAAAAATGAGCTGAGTTTCTTGGAACTGTCCTAGATTAGTGCCTATGTAGACTTCCCAGAAACTAACACTAAATGCACAAATGGATTTATTTCATATTTTTAAAAAAAATAGTTAAATTTGCCACCTCTGATTACAGTCCCTTCATCTTGGCAGATGCTCATTTAAAATTCCACTGCAGACCCTGTGTGAATGTTTTCTCTTCTGTAGGACTATAAGACCTACCTGGACTTTGTTCTTGCCTTAGAAAACAGAAAGGAGCCTGCAGCTCTGCAGTATATTTTCAAACTGCTGGACATTGAGAACAAGGGATATCTGAATGTCTTCTCCCTCAATTATTTCTTTAGGGTAAGTATGGTTTGGGCACAGGAGCATTGTTATCCTAAGATACATTAAACTATTTGGTTTAAATTACTTATTGACAGTTTTACCTAGCTTGATTATAAATTTAAAAGGATTCCTATAATAAATAGATTTAAAGTGGAAATCAAGTCTGTTTGTTTTGTTCCTTCTATGTTTAGGAAATATATAATAGTAAAGTCAAGCTGACTTTCTTACACATCTTTTCAGTATTCTCTTTTGGAAACAAATGTGAGGGCTGAGCTAGCCTTGGAAAATAGAAACTGCAGCCTGCAGCCTTAACCCTCCTTCCTCTGCCAAGTTCTCGATAGCTCGGTGTAAGCGTAGAAAGGGCCAGGGGTGTGTTGCCCCGTTACAGGCTGGAAGTGGGGCAGTCGGAGAGACGCTGAAGCTGAGACTTACGGTGTGGGACTGTGCAGGAACCGGGGGAGAAGGGGTGGGAATTATGGACTTCATTTTCTCATTTATGGATTTATTTCTGTTAAATACAGGCCATACAAGAACTAATGAAAATCCATGGACAGGATCCTGTTTCATTTCAAGATGTCAAGGTTAGTCTTTTATTTATTTATATAACATCAGATAATATAACCATAATAATACTAAGTCATGTTTTATCCAGTTTTATATGAAAGTAATTTATGAACTAGGAAACACTATTCCAAGTCAGATTTTTGCTGTCACTTGTTTGGAACTGATTCTTAAATCATCAGAAATAGAGACAAATTTGGATTTACTGATTGATATAGTTGATAATTTCACTGTCCGTCTTGTGTTCTCATGGAAACATGCATTCATTTTATTTGAAGAGTGTCAGCTTGCATCCTTGAGCAGTCCTTTTCATTGTCCTCCACATCAACTGGAGGACTATTCAGATTCAAGACCTTTAGGTGCGCTGCCTCAAAGAGCCTGCATGCTTTGATCCATTCGATTTAAAGAAACGTCCACTTGCGATATGAAAACTCGGTACTGGGGCTGGAAGGCCGGCAAAGCCGTGAGAGCACCAGAGCCCTGCATTTTATCCCAGCACTCTGCAGGCCGATGCCGGCCGGTCACGACCATCTGTAACTCAGCTCCAGGGACCCGAGGCCCACACGGAGCATTCACACAGATACATAAACAGAGATCAGGAAAACCACCGTTACGTGAAACCCACACTGCTCCCTGGCACTTAGTCAGCAGTTCACCAGTTAGGAAGAAACATCCAGCAGGACCTTTTTGGTTTAGCTGAGTAACATAATAAAATACCCTAACCAATTTAACCAAGAGTAAGCCTGAAGGGACTGTTCTGAGACAGCACATGGGGGAAATTCCAAACTTTGTAACATGAATGTAAGAACCAACACTTGAATCTTCAACTAATCTGGAAAGAAGAATGCTCAGTTTAAAAGTTTATATTTTATGAACCTGAGTTACTCTATAAATTTGTTTAATGTAACTGTTTATAATGCTAACTACTAAATATTCTTGAGTAATTTTACGACACAGGATTAGAAAATGCCTGGTGGTGGTGGTGCACGCCTTTAATCCCAGCACTTGGGAGGCAGAGGCAGGCGGACCTCTGAGTTCGAGGCCAGCCTGGGCTACAAAGCAAGTTCCAGGACAGCCAGGGCTACACAGAGAAACCCTGTCTTAAGAAAAGAAAAAAAAATTAGAAAACATAGGTTATTGCCTTGCAAATATTTCTACTGTATATTTCATACCATAGACGAGGTTCTTCCATGAACTCTAGTTAAGTCTTGGCACAGTTTTGTTATTTTGCATGACTAATTTTTAATACGGATTTCCATTCTCCCCATACTGGGACTAGAGTAAAGGTGCTATGATTATTGAAGTGAAGTTTTGTCACTGTCTCTGAACCACTGGAATTTTTAATATGTAGCTCAGCTCTTACTTAAAAGGTGTGCTGACATAACTTAGTGGCAGAGTGCTTGCCTGGAGGGACATCTTAGGTTTGATTCCCAGCACGGGGGTGAGAAGGTTTTGCCCAGACTTTGCCCCACCATTAGAAGGCAATAAAAAGTAGAGCAGTTGGTTGCACTCAAAGAAGACTGTAGTAGACGGCTCTGCCATTAATTAGCTGTGAGCTTGGATTCCACTCTGAGCCTGTTTTCGTCATCTCTGAAATGAGAGATAATTATCAGACAGCTAAGGAATTGCCCAAGAAAAGTCTGTGGTAAGGAGATGCCTATCAAGTGAAAAGACTGGAATAACAGTTGTACAAGAATTCAAAGTCCACCCTGAATTTTACATCACTGTGTGACAGAAATCACTTTGCCCAGCTTTTATTATCGCTTTCTCTTACAGGATGAAATCTTTGACATGGTAAAACCACAGGATCCTCTGAAAATCTCGCTTCAGGATTTAATCAACAGTAATCAAGGAGACACAGTCACTACCATTCTAATTGATCTGAATGGCTTCTGGACTTACGAGAACAGAGAAGCCCTTGTTGCAAATGACAATGAGAACTCTTCAGATCTCGATGACACATGAGCTCTGGAAGACTAGACCACCTTCCTAAAGATGCCTGAATGCTGCATGCAAAACCTTTGCCGCAGAATCCTTAGAAACATTCTAAATAAAACTCATCACATGCCTGTACGACACAGCAAACAGCTTGCTTACTAGAGTTTTGGTTGCAATGGGAACACTTTCCAGTTACTAGGACCAACTGCTTTTTTTTCTTTTCTTTCTTTTTTTATTTTTTTAAATGAAGTGGTAAGTTCTAGTTCTATTTAGCTCAGAAACAGAAAGGTTTGCTGTAGGTCGTTGTTGAGTTTATGGACTATTTCTGGTATTCATATAGGATTATAGTATTTGTTCTTCATGAATATCAAGGACTTTTCCATTAGAGTATCATTAGAGCAAACCCCTGCATTTCTGGATTCAAAAGCTTTAGATGTGACTTTTTTTAGACATGGTCCACTATGCAGCCCTGACTGACCTGGAATTTGCTTTGTGGACTAGATTGGCCTTGAACCTTGAACTCAGAGAGAGTCATCGTCTCTACCTCCCAAGTGCTGAGTTTAAAGGTGAGTGCCACCAGGCCTTTTTTACGATTTCATTTATGTCCTGTGTGTGAACACCAGAGCACACATGGAGGTCAGTGGATTGGAGTCAAGTCTCTCCTTCCCCCACGGGGATTCCAGAGCTCAAAGTCAGGGTGTCAAGGTCGCCTACAGCCACTGGACCCACTGTCATCCCCCCACCCAGTTCTTTTTTGTTAAGATGGTGCTTCAAAAAAAAATTATTCAAGCAAATATTTTGTTTTCATTAAAATCACAAGTATGAAATTTTGTCTAATTTTATTAACCATTATCAAGTTACATTTACAAAACTGTACCTTTTATTAAAGGTTTTTGTTAGAGAATTACTAATTTCTTATACTAACTCATGTGTTTATGGTTTTTTTGTTGAAGTATAAGGGTCTTGATCTGTAGTCTAGGCCAGCCTCCAACTCATGACCCTGCCTCAGCCTCCCTAGTGCTGGGAGTACAGACATGCTCCACCACACCTGCCTTGTGTTCAGTTTTCATGGAGATGAGAAGAAAGAAGAACGTCGTGGACTGTGATGCAGAGGGGAAAAGAATTCTACTGGGACTGGAAAGTAGGAAGAGGTGAGAGAGGCTGAAAAGAGACCGAAACATTTACCCCATTTATGATCATTTTATAGCTGCATAAACCAAAGCATACAAATGTAAGGCACAGTGAATCATAAATTAGCACACAAACCCAGCTGCCCGACAAGCAGGAAGTAAGCTGGGCAACCGCGGGGCTTTGCAGGTGCTCCCCTCCTTCTGCAATCAGAGGCTGTGGTCAAGTCTGAGGTGCAGCGCGTCGGGAGAGATGCCTCAGACCACCTGCCTTCACCTCCCAACAAGTTAGGGTCTGAGGTGGTGGCATGGTCTCAAAGTTTGTTAAAAACAAGCCAAGAGGCAGAGGTCAGGCCATATCAACTGAGACTGGTTTAGGAAGCTAACTGATGGTGTCACTAGTTACACAATCTCTAAGAACTAAGTCACATCATATGCAACCATGAAGGGAGCCAGCTCACCAGCCCACGACTCCAAGGAAGACTCCATACTTGCTGAGCCTTACAAATTTCAGTCCAGCTGAAACTGACTCAAACTTTGAATATTCAGTTAAAAATCCAGCTTTCCGTTGAACTTACTGAGAGGTCCACTGGCAAGTCTCTACAATTATGCTCACCTGTCCATGTTTGAAATGTACACATTGAAGATGGAAAACGTCATGCTACTTAGAAGGCCAGTTTATAAGTGTTAATTTCTAAAAGCTATGAGAAGGCTTTTAAAAAAAAGATCAGCATCTAAAACATTGTCCACATTTCTCTTTATCCACATTTGGTTATAAATCAGAGTTATACATATAAAAGGTTCTGAACACATATGTAGGAATATTTCTCAAAATTTGCTTCATATTACACAACTTTGTAAAGGAATAACCTAGTAGAGAGAGGACCAAACCTGGTTCGCGTCAACTGCCCAGCTTACCACCGTGACTTCAGAACGGTGAACAAAAGTAGACGGAGCGGTTCATCCCCAGCGACCCTGCCTGATGCAGAGGACTGAGTGAGTCACACCCAAGGTGCCAGCCACGTGGGGGTCACGAGGGCCCAACACCTGAGGGAACTACAATTCACTCGGTAACTAGTGCTACTCTGTGACCAGAGCAAGTTATTAACTACTGAAAAATACAAGAGTGGCTTGTGGTGAAAATGAAACCCATCTTAAGATTCAGAGTAGCACATTCAACACTTCCCATAAAACCGTCTCAACAAAGGAAATCCAGTGCCTCCATCTTGCTCCCTTATCGCACACTCTGAACCATCCTAGTGGGAAATTAATGGGCAGGTATGTTAAATGCAAGGAAGGATTGCATGAGGCAATGTAGGGCACTTTAGTCTGAGGCTGTTAGGATTATTAGCTCCAAAGACAATTAGTCAATACTTACCCTTTTTTTTAAACAAATGCCCCAAAACCAGAAATCTCAAGGAACAAATTAACTCCCCTTTTAATGTGGAACACCTTTATTTTTTGGTTTTTTTTGAGACAGGGTCTCATGGGCTAGGCTGGAGCTCATTATGTTGACCAGGTGGGCCTTGAACTCACACAGAACCACCAGCCCCTGCCTCTGTGTGCTAGGATCAAAGGTGTGTGTGATCCTGCCATGCTAAATGATGTCTTACCAAAGCACTGGGCTTAGCACTGGTCAGTGTATGTGAAAGAAGGGGGAGGGTGCAGGGCTAATTTAACTCATAATAAAAACATCCCAACTTCAGATCTGACTGTGATAGACAAAGCATAAGAACGAAGAAAGATTTCCCCTAATAATTTAAAATATAAATAGTTGTTTCAAGCCCCACTAAACAAGATGTCAAGAGTTCCTGATTGAGCTTTAGGGTGGCACTCTCTACACAGTCCTTTCGTTCTACGGTGGGACAGAGGCCGTCTGCTCTTTGCTCTCCTGGAGTCCTCCACAGCCCTCCTCCATTTCAAAGTTGATGTTCACAAACGAGCTGGCCACCACCGTCTCCGGTTGATCTGTCTGTACAGTGCAATCAGCCTGCATCTTGTTCTGCTGGTACTGTCTTTCTGCTTCTTCAGACATCCTATTTTCTTCCTCCTCCTCCTCCTCCTAAAAAAATGGGAAATGTCGGGAGTTAAAATACTAATGGCCACAAGGGAACAAGTACTTCTCGCAGTAGCATCTTTTTCTTCACAAGCCAAACTTGAGTGTCATGTCTAATGTACACACTTCTGGGGGAGGGGGGCTCAGTGCACCCCTAACGTATATGAGGATCTAGGTTTGATCCCTAGTACCACACACGGGGCCAGAGGGGGTTGAGAGAGAGAACTACCACCCCCCAAACAAGCCTGTCCTCTCCCCTGTTCACAAAGTAAAATGGTTACTTTCAGAGGTGGACAGCCCAGCGCTCCTTCGCTTGGCTACCTTCACTTACCCAATAAAGTAATACATGAGCTACTGTGACCCTTTAATTATACGGTGTCATCCTGGTTAGTTAACAGGTTGGTTCATTCATTAAATGGTATAGCATGGTTAGTTTTTCCCTAAGCACCTAATCAAGGTGCAGATCATCGGGTTCCTGCCCTCAAGAACTCTGCAGTCTAGCAGGAAGCTGACGTAGAGAGGGTGATACAGAAGGCCGCCCTACGGAGCCAGCCAACCCTGGTTCAGACCTGTGCAGTTCTAGAGGAGGTGGCTCTGTATCTGGACCGAGACACAAGTCAGTACAGGAGTGACCTCTCGCGAGGATCATCTCATCTGAGGTGGGACGGACTTGAGAAGCTACTGAAGAGGGCTGACGGAGCTCAGGAGCCTCGAACATGGCTCGCGGTGTTTGCTTGTTTGTCTTTGGTTTTTAAAACCATGCGTGGAGCCACACGACAGAATAAAGGTGATCCTCCAAGGCTGGCCTCCGGGTTCAGCCTCCAAGAACAAAGCTGGTGGCCGTTCACTGGACCCACACCCTGTGTTCACGCCGCCTCTGGGTGTTCCTCCCCTGCTGCTCTTGAGTCACTTGAAGGGGAGTAATACACTCTGGTTTACTGTGTGCTTCCCGGTGTACACGAGGCGCTGTTCTGAGCATTTTATACACTAACCCTAAGGGAGATGCGGTTCTCATGCTGACAGGGACTTGAGGCTGGGGGGCTCGGTAACTACCTCACTACTTACACAGGCTGGCTGGTGTGTCTTCATTTTTAAATTAAAGCGAAAATACCAAAAGGTATCTAAAGATCAAATTAATACACACGAAACTACTCACTTAGCACTGGCAGACGAAACCTAGCTTAAGTTTTGTTGTTTTTTCGAGACAGGGTTTCTCTGTGTAGCTTTGGAACCTGTCCTGGATCTCACTTGGTAGCCCAGGCTGGCCCCGAACTCACAGAGATCCACCTGGCTCTGCCTCCCGAGTGCTGGGATTAAAGGCCTGCACCTCCACCGCCCAGCAATAAGTTTTACACATTTACCTTAGGAAATCTGAATTTTGAAGAATTCTAAAATATGTTAATTTAACAAACTAAATAAGCTATCTTCAGTGGTCGAGCCCTTGTCTGGGATGTGTAAGGTCCTGTGTTTGATGTCTGCCACTGCAAAGACCACAGGAGCTATCTTTTTGGCTCCCGGAGCATCCACACACTCATTATGGAGCTCATCAAGCCTCGGGCAAACCATCAATAAAGTGAAAAAAGGAGACACACCTCCTTCTTCATCCGGTAATACTCATCAATGGCATATTGGTATTTGGGGGTGCTGATGCCCAAAACAGATGCAATCTTCTCTCCAAGAAAGTCACACACTAAAGATACAAAAATTAAGAGACATACAATTCATAAACATCTCTTGAGCATTTTATGTAATACTAAGAATACAAGAGTTACTGTTTTATCCTTAAACCCAATAAACGTATCACCCTGTCTCCTCACGTCTGTCCTGGACACCCAGTCTGCTCACATTCCTATTTGGGCATGTTTGTTTTGAGAACAGTCTCACTATGTAGCAAGTGTATTCAGAGTATTTAGTCAACGACCCCCGACCAGCCTCCACAGTGCTGGATCAGATGTGTGCTGGGCCAGCCACTGTTCGGCCTCACAGTTCTCACCAGGCACTGTAGTTATCAGTGAGGAGAAAAGGGAGGACGGTCCTGCCGCGGCCTCCCTCGGCTGTGAGAGCCAGAACAAGCCCCTCAGCTGCTTTTGCTGCGTGTTCTGCCCCACCAAGGTCAGCACCTAATACAGAAGGCTCCGGCAGGCAATGAGAGGTCAGGCTTACAAGACGTAAAGAAGTCGCCAAAGCAGATACAAGAGCTAACATTCTAATACAGAGCTGTATGTACCGCTTGTACTCTTCTGTCGCCAGCCATGACCACAATACATGCTCAGTAAATGTTAGCTCAAATACCAGCCACGATTTGCTCTAATAAGAGCAATTGACAGACGTTATCATGCAGTTAATTGGAAACAGTAAGCTTTAAAGATTTTTATTTATTTATTATGTATACAGTGTTCTGTCTGCATGTATGCTTGCAGGCCAGAAGAGGGCACCAGATCTCATTACAGATGGTTGTGAGCCACCATGGGGTTGCCAGGAATTGAACTCAAAACCTCTGGAAGAGCAGCCAGTGCGCTTAACCTCTGAGCCATCTCTCCAGCCCCAGAAACAGTTACATTTTATGGTTTAAAATTATTTGCATAATTGCATAAATTGATAATTTACTTCCTTCAAATATCGGTTACATTTCCATTTAAGAAGTGAAATATTGCTGGGACATAGCTCAGTGGAAGAGTTTTTGCCTAGGATGTACAGGGTAGGTTCAATCCTCAGCACCATAAAAAAAATTACATGGAGGAAACCATGAATCCCCATAGCTACATAACAAAGAATAAAATGGTAAGATGCTAGGAAGAAATTAAATTCTAATAAAAATTAAAATATGAATGGTTTATAATAAGGCTTTAGAATCAGCGAGGGACACAATGGGATTAACAGCAGTAGGAAACCAAATGGTGAGGTAACGGAATGGACGGTGACAAGGCTCAAAATACAACATCCTGTCCACGTTAACGGTGCCATGGTCCAGGGTAGTTTTTATTACTATACTCAGGGGGCCAAAACGGAGATCAGAGGACAACTCGGTAGGAACGAGCTCTTCCTGATGGGGTTCCAGGGATCAAATCTGCTGGTCAGTTTGGTGGCAAGCACCTCTGCCTGCCTGGGCCAACTTGCTGGCCCTTGTTCGTTTTTAACACAACTATAAACCGAAGAACATTTGTACAGGTAGAGTAATGGTTTCCAATGCTAGCTGGACACCTGGGGAGGGCAAAGTGGTTCCCTATCTTGTTTCTTCTTCAGTGGGGACATCCTGTTTGGGAACGTTCCTGTGTGCAGAACTTTCTAGAGCAATCATACACTAGTCAAACAGAAGAGCAATACCTGAGAGGGTTGACGTGGCAGCCCGGAGCATGTAAAACCACAAGTAGGGGCCCCAGGGAAGTTTTGTCTGCAACAAGAAGTCAGGTTAGCAACGTTCTTCCAATAGTCACTCTCTTCAGACCAGAGTAACTGGTCAAATTATTAGTACGCACAGAAGGCATTCCATAGGGAAGAATCCAGTCAGATAAAAACGTAAATACTGACGTCCAAATTCCACAAACACTTCATCTTATTCCATGTAATTACCACCACCTTTACCCATGGAAGGACCAAAACCAGAACAACAGAATGGCACTGTAACTCGGTCTCTGCTACCCACCACTTCTACAGCCTGCGTCCTGTCTTGCTTTTTTGTCTTCATAAGGACATCAAAGAAGGAGCACCATTAACAGAGAGAATGCTGTGGATATGCCTAGCCAACATATCCACAGGTTCTCAGGGTCCTGAAACTCACTCTGTAGACCAGGTTGGCCTCGAACTCAGAGAGATCCCCCTGCCTCTGCCTCCCGAGTGCTGGGACTAAAGGCGTGCGACATCAAGGCCGGTTGCTTTGTTCTCTTAAAGGATAGAAATGGGATGAGTGTACACACCCAAGACTGTTCAGTGCATTTGGCAAGGAGCGCTGGCAGAATGCTCCCTGCGCAAACTAATCTTGGTTCTTGCTTGTGTGAAGGTTGCCTAAGATAACTGTGCTTTTATTGATAGAATTGACACTACAGGCATGCTTCACTGGACCAATATTTTTGTTTATATAGAGCCTGCATTTGGATACATTAATACTTGCTTTTAAATTTCTTTCAAGAAGAAAGAAAAATTTGTTTTCTTTTTTTGCAGATATATTCGTGATTTTTTTGTTTTGTTTTGTTTTGTTTTTCGAGACAGGGTTTCTCTGTTATAGTTTTGGTACCTATCCTGGATCTCGCCTTGTAGACCAGGCTGGCCTCGAACTCACAGAGATCCACATGGCTCTGCCTCCAGAGTGCTGGGATTAAAGGCGTGCGCCACCACCGCCCGGCTGATATATTCATGATTATAAAGGCATTAAAAAGCCAACCAGAACATCTATAAAGACTGAGTAAGCCAGATGTGCATACATATAATTTTAGCCCAGCACTTGGAAGGCACTGCAAGAATAATTACACTTTAAGTTTGAGGCAAGCCTAGTCTATCTATCAAGTTCCAAGCCAGCCTGAGCTACACAGAAGATGCCGTCTCCAAAAAGACTGAGTAGAGTCCATCTTGTGATGAAAAGTAGGTCTGCTGGGGTTGAGGAGATAACGCAGCTTGTGAAGTGCTCGCCATGCAAGCTGAGGACCTGAGTTCGATTCCCAGACCCCATGAAAGCAGCTCGGCCCAGTGGCCCGCACTTGTAATCCCAGTGATGGGGAGGGAGGCAGGAAGACTTCTGGGGCTCGCTGGCCAGCCAGCCTACCCTAGGTGGCAAGCTCCAGGTCCAGGGAGAAACCTTGACTCCTGAGAACAACACTGGAGGCTGATCTCCGGCCGCCGCCACCGCCGCCGCGTCCCCTCCCCCCATATGTTTACAAATGAGTTAACCCCGCCCCCACCCCACACAGAATGTGTCAAGCACTGTGCTGGTTCAGATGAAAACCCAAGGAGTCGGTGATGTTCTCACTCGGCTCTCCTGCAGTTGTTTCTAGAGACAGTAACTGCCAACACTAAAGCGAGGATTACCCAAGAACCCTGCTCCGGCTGAGGAGGCCGACCGTACCCGTCGTCACCCACAGTTACGTAGAAGGCCCTTAGCCAGCCCGTTATTTGGACACGGATACTGCTGACCCCAAATCACAGGGCCATGTCACCAAACCCAGCATCACTGCCGCCAACCGCCATCTAAAAGTACCCTCTGGGGCTGCACTGCGGGTCTTCAAGGATTTTTAGCTTACAGGTAAAACCCCAAAATTTCTTTTCTTCCAAAAATGTGTCTCTAGTCTTCCCTGTCAAGACTTTGATTTTAAAACAACTCTGTGGATAATAGTATGGCCATACTCCCTAAATCAGTGGCTCTCAACCTCCCTAATGCTGGGACCCTTTAATACAGCTCTTCGTGTTACAGTTGTGATCCCCAACCACAGAGTTATCTCATTGCTTCCCCCAACTGTAACTTGCTCATGTTATGAATCATAATATAAATAGCTAATATGTGACCCTTGTGAGGTTTACAATCTACAGGTTGAGAACCACTGCCCTCAACAGACCTAGAGATTCAACACAATGTCCACTACCTCCTCTTCAGAAATTGACAATCTAATTCTAAAAGTCACACAGTATTTAAAGGACCTAGAACAGTCGAAACAATCTAGAAAAGAGGAAAATACAAACAGGCCCAGGACTCAGATTTTCAAAATCTTCCAAATCTACAGGAGAACACACCTGTGCCCAGTGCTCCAGACATAGGAGAGCACATCTGTACTCAGGGCTCCAGGCACAAGAGAACACACCTGTGCCCAGTGCTCCAGACATAGGAGAGCACACCTGTGCCCAGTGCTCTGGGCACGGGAGAACACACCTGTGCTCAGGGCTCCAGAAGATGAGAGGTGAGGAAGGGCCCTGGCACAAGAACAGATTCACAGACCTGGTGGAGGACTAAGTCCGGAATAAAACCAAATTCAATAGGCAAAGGACTCAACAAGGGCCCTGAGACCACGGGTGGCGGTTTGAACGAGAACGGCCCCCACAGGTCACAGATGTGAAGGCCTGGTCACCAGGGAGTGGCGCTATTTGAAAGAATTGGGAGGTGTCACCTTGATGGAGGAAGTGTGTCACTGGAGGTGAGCTCTGAGGTTTCAAAAGTCCAGTGTGAGTGTGAGTGTGTGTGTGTGTGTGTGTGTGTGTGTGTGTGTGTGTGTGTGTGTGTGTGTGTGTGTGTGTGTGTCTACCATCAGTTCAGGATGTAGCTCTCAGCTAATCCTCCAGCACATGTCTGCCTATGAGCCGCCATGCTTCTCACCATGATTACAACGGACTAACCCTCTAAAACTAAAAGCAAGGCCTCAGCTGAACGCTTTCCTTTGTAAGAGTTGCCATGGGAGTGCCCATCCTGGCCTGGATTGTTTCACTGGCCTTTTATTCTGCGAGAGGAATAACCCTAGCTAGGGAGTGGTCATGCACACGAAACCTCAACTCTCAGGAAGGAGAATCCTAAGTCTGAGGTCAGCCTGGTCTACATAGTAAGTTCCAGGGTAGTCAAGGCTACATAGTGAGACCCTGTCAAAAACAAAAAAAAAAAAAGGAAAAAGACAATAGATTCAGGTCTTCCAACTGTTAAAAAGTATGCTAAGGGGGTGGAGAGATAGCTCAGTGGTTAAGAGCACTGGCTGCTCTTCCAGAGGTCCTGAGTTCCCG